TCTATCTATCTATCTATCTATCTATCTATCTATCTATCTATCTATCTATCATCTATTTATCTATCTGTCTTCTATCCTATCTCTCTCTATCATCTATCTATCTATCTATCTATCTATCTATCTATCTATCTATCATCTATCTATCCATCTATCACCTATCTATCATCTGCCTGCCTATCTATCTATCTATCTATCTATCTATCTATCTATCTATCTATTTATCTATCACCTATCTATCATCTATCTACCTATCTATTTATCTATCACCTATCTATCACCTATCTATATCTATCTATCTATCATCTATCTATCTATCTTTCTATCTATCCATCTATCATCTATCTATCTATCTATCTATCTATCTATCTATCTATCTATCTATCTATCCTATCTATTATCCGCTTATTTATTTGAAGTGTCTCAAATAGCCCATGCTAATATCAAACTTGCTACTTAGTCGTGACTGACCTTGAACTTCTATCCTTCTGCCTTCACCTCCCAAGTGCGGGATTACAGGCTCGCACCAGCACCACCATGCTCAATTTATGCAGTACTGGGGAGTGAACACAGGACTTCTTACCGACAGGCACTCTATCAACTGAGCTACAGCCCTACTCTGATACACACTTTTTTCCCCTTTAGATCTTATTTTATTACTATCATTATTACTTTGCTTTGTTTTTTGAGACAGGGTTTCTCTGTGTGGTTCTGGCTGTCCTGGAACTCACTCTTCAGACCAGACTGGCCTAGAATTCACAGGGATTCACCCACCTCTGCCTCCCGAGTGCTGGGATTAACGGCGTGTGCCACCATTGCCCAGTTTATTTTATTATTATTTTTAATTGCATGTATATGCAAGTGTCTGTGTGTGGGTATGTGCACATGAGTGCAGGCTCCATGGTGACCAGAGGGATCAGATCCCCTGGCCTGGTGGTGACAGGTGGAGCTGAGCTGGAGTTGTGAGGTGCCAGAGGTGGGTTCTAGGAACCAAACCTAGGTCTTTCTAACTAACCACTGAGCCATCTCCCCACCCCACCCTCCCCTGACATACTTCAATTACAGTTTAACAAGCTGAAGCATCTGAAAGTGGAGGAAGGTGAGTAAGTACCTCCATGTCACTACACAGTGCTGAATCAGGACGGTGCCCAGGTCTACTGCCTCCACAGCTGGGGACCTCACCTTTGACCAGCACGGTCCCCATAGACTTTTAAATGCTTTCCCACGTCCTTCTTCAGTATTATGTCCAATTTTGCTGAAAAGCTGCGTAATTGTAGAGGAACAAACAGTATTTCTTCCCATAACTGGTTCCTCCTGTGGGTAAGGTGAGTCCTGGGGACTTTGAAATTGTTATCAGTCTCCTTACCTGTCCGGAAAGTCTGACGAATCTCGTGTGTTTACTTTCCACAGTAAGACTTATGCCCACCGGCGTCTGAAGTTCCTCTCCTCCAAGTTCCAGGTCCATCAGATGCTGAACGAGATGGATGAGCTGAAGGAGCTGAAGAACAACCCCCACCGGGACTTTTATAACTGCAGGAAGGTGAGTGCACCCGCACCCAGGGTGCCCTTAAGGACAAGAAGCTGTTTGCTGATGAACCCACCGCTTCTGCAGGTTGCGTGGACTTTAGTGAAGGCAGGTAGAGCATATATCTAGAAGATTAGAAGTGCCGTTCTGTTGTTTGCCCAAGAGGGAAAAAAAAGCACTTTACTTAAAGTCGTGTGCGAGTGTGTACTTGGGCAAGGGAGGGGGGAGAGATGGGCAGTTATAGGCAGCTGTGAGCTACAGTGTGCTGGGAACTGAACTCAGGTCCTCTGCAAGAGCAATATGCCCTATTAACTGCTGAGCCATTCCTCTAGCCTTACCTATTGATTTTTGAGACATGATCGCTGTGCAGCCTTGGCTGGCCTGGAACTCGTTATGTACACGAGGCTGCCTTCCAACCCACAGTGGTCCCCCGGCCTGTGCCTCCTGAGTGCTGGGATTCCAGCATGCACCATGTCTGGCTAATATGCATTTTATACATTGGGCGTGATAAGCTAAGTGTGGTGGCCCATCTTTCTTTAGTCTCAGTACTGGGGAGGCAGAGACAGTGGATCTCTGTGAGTTCAAGGCCAGCCTGATTTACTGAATGAAAGTCTGTCGATAGATGATAGATAGATAGATAGATAGATAGATAGATAGATAGATAGATAGATAGATAGATAGATGGACTACATGTCTGAAATCCCAGTCCTTGGGAGGTGAAAGCAGGAGGATTAGGAGTTTGAGTCATCTTCAGCTGCATTTTAACTCAGGGCCAGTCTGGGCTGCATGAAATTGCCTCAAACAGTCAAATAATTTTGTACTTATAAATTTTGTTCTTACTGTGTGTATCATCAGTGTACCAAGACAGTTTTCAGGAGTCGGCTCTCTGTGGACATCAAGCTTGGTGGCAAATGCTTTTACCTGTTGAGTCATCTTCCTGCCCTAATTTTGTTTTGTTTTGCCTCTTGAAGCAGGGTCTCATGTGGCTCAGTTTGGCTCAAACTGGATATATAATTGAAGATGACTTTAAACTCCTGATTTTCTGCCTCTTCCTCCCCAGGGCTGGGATGTGGCAGGGATTACTGACATGTGCCAGTGCAGCCAACAAGCCTCCTAACTTTTTCCTTAACTTCTTTGGGAACAAAAGCTATGATAGATACATTGCTTCTAATTGTATTTGTGGCGTAGAGAACGAGCTATAAGAATTTTGTTTCAATATGTCGGAGGCACATTGGGTGTGCTGATGCTCGGGAGGGGCAAGCATCATCCCTGCACCCAGCTAAACTGCTCACAGATGCAGAGAGGATGCAAATGGGTCCTTACCACTGGGCCACCTCCATCAGCTGTCAGTTCACACCACCGTCTGTTCCTTCCTCTCTCCTCGGCGGAATCTGCCGGCACTGTGGCCACTGACCGTGGAGGAAAGATGGCTGATTGCTGGGTTTTTTTCCTCTGAATGTGTCCATAGGTGGATACTCACATCCATGCAGCCGCCTGCATGAACCAGAAGCATCTGCTGCGCTTTATTAAGAAATCTTACCACATCGATGCCGACAGAGTGGTCTACAGCACTAAAGAGAAGAATCTGACCCTGAAGGAACTTTTTGCTAAGTTGAATATGCATCCCTATGACCTGACGGTTGACTCTCTGGATGTTCATGCTGTAGGTTGGGAAGATGCTTAGTTTTCTCCCACGGAACCCAAGATGTCCCAGTCCCTCCCTCCCTTAGCACAGCCCTCTTAACTACCTTGGCCACTGCGATGACCAAAAGCACCGCTGATGAGTTTTGAGGTCCACCCACTATCGCTCAAACTGAGCTTCGTTCCTGGAGCCCTTCCTCTTCCCCTGAGAACCACCCCATTTCACTTGGTCATCCCCAGGAAACTCTCATAATCAAAACTTCTGCTCTTGTTTCCTGATTCAGGGACGCCAGACATTCCAACGTTTTGATAAATTCAATGACAAATACAACCCCGTGGGTGCGAGTGAGCTTCGGGACCTCTACCTAAAAACAGACAATTACATTAAAGGGGAATATTTTGCCACTATCATCAAGGTGAGTAAAAAAAAAGTACTTAGTATGGGTTCATGAATGGGGAGGAGAGAGGGAAGACAGGAAAGAAGGAAGGAAGGAAGGAAGGAAGGAAGGAAGGAAGGGAGGGAGGGAGGGAGGGAGGGAGGGAGGGAGGGAGGGAGGGAGGCAGGCAGAGGGGGAGGGGAGGGAGGTGTCTGGGGAATGCCTCTGTTTCTAGGGTAGAGAAGTTGAGGTGTGATTTAGGGGCTAAGGACCTGGTCTTCAAGGTTTGGGTAGATCTAAGAGCATCCCTTGTGATGCTGTGTTTTAAGAAGCAGGGCTGGAGAGGTGACTCAGAGGTTAAGAGCACTGACTGCTCTTCCAGAGGTCCTGCGTTCAATTCCCAGCAACTACATGGTGGCTCACAACCATCTGTACTGAGATCTGGTGCCCTCATCAGGCATGCAAGCACACATGGAGGCTGAACATTATATACACAATAAATAAATAAATAAAATCTTTTAAAAAATGTACATGTCTTGCAGGCCCCATGACTATCTCCATCTCATCATCCTTAGCCTGACCTTTCCCTGAGGTCTCCGTCACCTTACCAGTCTTTGTCCTCGCTCAGTCTCTTCTGTTCCCTCAGATCTTGGATACTTCTCTTCTCACTCCCTTTCACAATACCACAGCTCTTTGGAGGATATATTTCCTCTCCCTACATCCCACTGGTCTAGACCTCTGGGAGGACTTGTGTGAATTCCTGACCTCGGACCCTTCTCTTGGCTTTACAGGAGGTGGGTGCAGACCTGGTGGAGGCCAAGTACCAGCATGCGGAGCCCCGCTTGTCCATCTATGGTCGCAGTCCTGATGAGTGGAGCAAACTCTCCTCTTGGTTTGTCTGCAACCGCATCTATTGCCCCAACATGACATGGATGATCCAAGTCCCCAGGATCTAGTATGTATTTGGGCCTCCCTGCGGCGGGCAGGCTCTCAAGCCTGTCCTCTCACCGGCCTCTCCTCTCAACCTGAACCGGTAGCGCTTTCTCTCTCTCTCTCTCTCTCTCTCTCTCTCTCTCTCTCTCTCACACACACACACACACACACACACACACACACAAGTTCTTGCTATGTAGAATAGGTTGACCTCAAATTTGAAATCCTCCTGCCTCTGTCATTTGAATGCAGGAATTATATAGGTATGTACCACCACACCCAATTTAGTTTTTAAGCTAAAAGTAAGGACCTAGTATGTATTTTCCCCAGGGACAAATGCTTAGTTCTTACTTTAAGAACTAAGCTAAAGTAAAAACCATGGGGGACTGGAGAGATGGCTCAGTGGTTAAGAGCATTGCCTGCTCGTCCAAAGGTCTTGAGTTCAATTCCCAGCAACCATATGGTGGCTCACAACCATCTGTAATGAGATCTGGTGCCCTCTCTGGCCTGCAGGCACACATGTAGGCAGATATTGTATGCATAATAAATGAATAAATATTTAAAAAAAGTAAAAACCATGTACATAGTATCAGTCATGTTTGCTAAAGTAAGAACCGTGTACATCACACATTGGTGTTCTCTGTGTCCAGTTTGTTCTTCAACAAGTTTATCTGTCCTGGTATATAACTTTATTTTATTTCTAGAGTCAGATGCACTACTGTTGTGCCATAGGCTGGCTTTATTTTATTTTTGTTACGGAATCTCCCTATTTATCCTGGCTAGCCTGAAACTTGCTATATAGACCAGGATGGCTTCCAACTTCTAAAGATCTACTGCCTCTGCCTCCTATGTGCTAGGAGTGAAGGCGTGTGCCACCACTCTTGGCTCTTTATTTTTAGTTTTGAGACAGGGTCTCACTGTATAACCCAGGCTAGGCTTGAACTCCTCCTAATCCATCTGTTTCTGTCTCCTGCACGCTGGGATTACAGAATTGTGCCGCCATGTCAGAATACAATTATAGCTGTCTTGTATCTGAACCTTTACTGCCACTTATGGCTGATTCACCCACAAGAGCCCATGTTCCCTGTAGCCAAAGTGTTTGCCAGCAGTGGTACTGAGTACGTCTACTCCCTCCCATGGTATGTGCAGTCACTCCCTGCCTGCAGGAATGGTTTCTCTCCTGTGCTCAGCATCATTGATCTTTTATGTAACTTACATGCTCTCTGCCAACCTGCTTATGTGCCCTCTGGAAATGCCAGGTTTCGTTCACTGGGGCTGGAGAGATGGCTCAGCTGGTAAAGTGTTTGCTCCACAACTATGAAGCTTAGATTATGAGTTCAGATCTCTCAAAATACCTAAAAATGGGAATGAGTTGTTATGAGGATTAATGTAACTAATATTTTTTGGCTATTTAGAAAAGTTTCTGGTGCTGGATGGTAGTGGCATAAGCCTTTAATTCCAGCAGAGGCAGGCAAATCTCTGAGTTCGAGGCCAGCCATGTCTACAGAGTGTCCAAGGTGGCCAGGGCTTCACAGAAAAGTCCTTTTTGTTTGTTTGTTTGTTTGTTTTTGGTTTTTTTTTTTAAAGAACCAAGAAAAAAGTTTCTGGCATATATATAAAGTGGTATAATTTATTGTTACCACAGATGAAGTGTGTGTGTGTGTGTGAGAGAGAGAGAGAGAGAGAGAGAGAGAGAGAGAGAGAGAGAGAGAGAGAGACTCTCCCAGAGTGTAGAAATTATCAAATTCTAGGCATGCGCCACCACTTTTGTCTGGTTTGTGGGGTGCAGGGGATTGAACCCGAGGCTTTGTGCACGTCAGGCAAGCACTTTACCAATGGAGCCGCATCCCCTTCCCCAGACAGGACCTCTTGATAGCAGTTTTCCGTTTGCTGTCTTGTGACACACATGTGCTTGATCGCTGAGCTTCCTATGGCACAATTACTATATTCCTCATAGCTGGACTTCGTTGTAAAAGTTGAGTTTTCTTGCCACAGGGAGTTTACAGAAGAGCTGGGGTATGTGGTCCAATGCCCAGTCCAACCTAAACTCCTCATCGTGTGTGTGCGAGGAGAGTGTCTGGGAGTGGGTGTGGGGTGAACTCACTTCTCTTCGTGTGTGTGTGTGTGTGTGTGTGTGTGTGTGTGTGTGTGTGCGAGGAGAGTGTCTGGGAGTGGATGTGGGGTGAACTCACTCCTCTTCGTGTGTGTGTGTGTGTGTGTGCGAGGAGAATGTCTGGGAGTGGGTGCAGGATGAGCACACTCCTCTTCGTGTGTGTGTGTGTGTGTGTGTGTGTGTGTGTGTGTGCGTGTGTGTGCACAAGGAGAGTGTCTGGGAGTGGGTGTGGGGTGAACACACTCCTCTTCGTGTGTGTGTGTGTGTGTGAGTGTGTGTCTGTGTGTGCGAGGAGAATGTCTGGGAGTGGGTGGGGGATGAACACACCAGGCCCTTTTCTGACACGTGACAGTTGGTTCACTGACTCCCACACAGTGGGAGCTATGCTTTCCCTCCTCCTAAGTTCCCTTCCCTTTCGCCTTTAGTGATGTGTTCCGATCCAAGAATTTCCTGCCACACTTTGGTAAGATGCTGGAGAATATCTTCCTTCCAGTGTTTGAGGCCACCATCAACCCCCAAGCTCACCCAGACCTCAGTGTCTTTCTCAAACACGTAAGTACGACCCTTCGGGCCCTTACTCCTCTCGTGAGCCAGCTGTCCTTGCTGGCCGTCACCGACTCTCCCTACTATCTGTATATCAACCTCCCCTTTGGAGCTGTCTGAGGACTTCTCTGCGGACAGTCTCTGCCCTTGGACTGAACCCACGGTACGGCCCACTTTCCTGACAGATCACTGGCTTTGACAGCGTGGATGATGAGTCCAAACACAGTGGTCACATGTTTTCCTCCAAGAGTCCCAAGCCTGAGGAGTGGACAATGGAAAACAACCCATCTTACACTTACTACGCCTACTACATGTATGCAAACATCACAGTGCTCAACAGCCTGAGAAAGTAAGTACAGGAGAAGGGGATACATCTGCGCGTGAGTGTATTTATTAGTGTGTGTGTGTTAGCGCTGGAGAGCACCTGCAGGGTGGGGTCGGGGGGGTCAGAGGGCAGCTTTCAGGTGTTGGTCCCTTCGTCCAGGTTACTAAGGCAGGTCCTCTCACTTCTGCCATACTACATACTAGTCTTGAGTGTCTGGCGGTTCTTGCCTCAGCTTTCCTTCTCACCTAGGGGTCCTGGGGTCACAGATGTGCAACACAGCCTCTTGCTTTTCTTTTTTTAAATTTCTTTTAAAGATTTATCTATTTTTACTTTGTGTGTACGAGTGTTTTGCCTGCATGTATGTCTGTGCACCATGTATGTGCCTGGTCCCCAGGGAGGCACACACTGACACGGAAATCCCTACAGGTGTGCTCTATTCTCCATTGCCTTCTTGCCCCACCATATCCTCTGCTGCCTCTCTTTTGAAAAATGATTGTATTTAGTAAGAATTACGATGAAGATTTGCAGTTTACATTTTGATGGATCTATTTGGTAGTTGTTCCCTTCCCAAGTGTTAACTCTGCCAACGGATTTTCCTGTGAATCTCTCCGCCCAGAACCTGGGGTTCCCACGGCCCATCTCTCCGCCCAGAACCTGGGGTCCCCATAGCCCATCTCTTTGCCCAGAACCTGGGGTTCCCACGGCCCATCTCTCTGCCCAGAACCTGGGGTTCCCACAGCCCATCTCTTTGCCCAGAACTTGGGGTTCCCATAGCCCATCTCTCTTCCCAGAACCTGGGGTCCCCATAGCCCATCTCTTTGCCCAGAACCTGGGGTTCCCATAGCCCATCTCTCTGCCCAGAACCTGGGGTTCCCACAGCCCATCTCTCTGCCCAGAACCTGGGGTTCCCACAGCCCATCTCTTTGCCCAGAACTTGGGGTTCCCATAGCCCATTTCTCTGCCCAGAACTTGGGGTTCCCATAGCCCATCTCTCTGCCCAGAACCTGGGGTCCCCATAGCCCATCTCTTTGCCCAGAACCTGGGGTCCCCATGGCCCATCTCTCTGCCCAGAACCTGGGGTTCCCATAGCCCATCTCTCTGCCCAGAACCTGGGGTTCCCATGGCCTTTTCGTTTTCACAGGGAACGAGGCATGAACACATTTCTGTTCCGCCCTCACTGTGGGGAGGCGGGAGCGCTCACTCACCTCATGACAGCCTTTATGATAGCAGACAATATTTCTCACGGCCTGAATTTAAAGAAGGTGAGTTTGAAGCTTTTTAAATTTAATTTAATTTTGAGACAGGGTCTTATGTAGCCCTGGCTGGACTTGAATTTGCGATGTAGCTAAAGATGACTTTAAATTTCTAATCGTCTTGCCTCTCCTTCTGACTGCTGGGCTTTTGGGTTACAGGTGAATACCACCACATCTGCTTAGAGTCTTTTCTTCTTCCCGCCCCCTTTGATATCTTTGAGATAGGGTTTCTCTGTGTAGCCCTGGCTGTCCTGGAACTCACTCTGTAGACCAGACAGGTCATGAACTTGGAGATCCATGTGCTTCTGCCTCCTGAATACTGGGATTATAGGCGTGCACCACCATGCCAGGCCTGAGTATATTCTTAATAGTAATAATTCTATATTACGAGTTCATAACAAATAAATCATTACAGTCCATTTTCAGTATGATCTGTATTTTGAGCTCATCAGTGAATCAAGGATGAACAGGAGGCGCTCCGCCTCTGTCTTCCCTAGCTAGCAGCTGGCATCTCATAGCCTGAATGCTTTGCACTTTCTCTTTAGGGTTGAAAAGTCCGAGGTATCAGGAAAGGGGGGACAGGACAGCTCTCAAGCCCCAGGAAGATGGGGAACTTGGGGCGAGGACTGTGCTAGCCTAGTGGGAAAGACTGTAACTCCTTGGAGAACCAGCCCATGACACAAAGGGAGCAGGGCATGATTCAAGTCATGGTCAGGGACTACGGAAACCACAGTCATTGCTGTCTTTTCTCTAGGTTGTTATCCAACTTTGCAAGGTTGAAAAGGAACAGCTTCAATTTCGCTACTCTGAGTCTTTAGTACCCTTATTATGAAATGAGGGTCACTGAGCATGAATCATTTGGGAGGGTTACTTAGGTAGCTCATTTTAGGAGAGTTGCTGAGGGTTTCTCTTAAGGTTACCTTACGAGTCGCCCTTGGAGATGAGTGAACACACATCTCCCGACTTCCGTCTTAGAACTCTGGCGGGTGAAATCAGGGGTTGGTTTGGCTTCCCTGCAGCTACTTTTTGCCAGGTTTCTTGTTGTAGCTTGCTTTAAATGTCTCTTGTGATAGTCATAACTTTCATGTAGCCAAAAAAAAAAAAAAAAAGTTGGTTTCGGGGAAACTCTTTTGAGCTGTAATTGTCTAGATCAGACCATCTAACTTTGATAACTTAATATTCAAGTTTAAAGAACTGATTTTGTCCAGTGCTTCTGGAAGCCATGCCTGAACATTTAACTTTCAGTATTTACATGGAAAAACTACAATCAGCCTGGTTGAGAGCAGTGGCTGCTCTTCCAGAGGACCTGGGTTCAAGTCCCGGCACCCACATGGCAGCTCACAACTGTCTGTAACTTCGGTTCCAGGGGATCCGACACCTTCATACAGATACACATGCAGGCAAAACATCAATGCACATTAAAAAGAAAGAAAGAAAGAAGGAAGGAAGGAAGGAAGGAAGGAAGAAAGAAAGGAAAGAAAAAAAGGAAGGAAGGAAGAAAGAAAGAAAAAAAGAAAGAATGAAAGAAAGAAAGAAAGAAAGAAAGAAAGAAAAAAAGAAAGAAAGAAAGGAAAGA